ACATTTTTGGCTTATAAACTAAAATTTTAATTTTTTTGGAGTTTCCTTCCTTTCTATTGCAAAGGCCCCATATGTTCTTATAGGTGAACAACTAATCTGTACTCTCATACTACTAAAATAACCTTCTAAGAAGTCTAAGGTCAAAATCTATAAAAAAGGTAGAAAAAGAACGTTAACATATGTTCTTATAGATGAATGACTAATTTGCATCTCTCATATTACTGAAATAATCTTCTAAGAAGCTCAGTATTAAAATTTACAAAAGAAAAGGTAAGGAAAAAATATTAGTATATATTTCTATAAATGAATAACTAATCTGCATTTTTACATTACTAAAATAATCTTTCAAGAAGCTCAGGATCAAAATCTACAAAAAGAAAAAGAAAAGAGTGTATTCTGATAGAATACAGTGAAAGCTCTTAATTTAATTTTTATTTTTTAAAGATGATGGTAGGAGAGATTTTATAGGAAAATTATGAAAATATTTTATTTTTAGATTATAATATAAAAAAAATAGAAAAAAAATAAAGTTTTTTTTTATAAAAAATTAATTTTATTATTTGTATACAAAAAAAATAAATTAAAAATAAATTTTTTTCTTTTTATATAAATTCAAAAAAAATACATAAATTTTAAATAAGTTTAGCTATTTAATTTTTATTAAATAAATAAAAAAAAAACTAAAAATTTAAAATAATTAAAAATAAAATTCAAAATTTTAATCAAATAAATTTAGAAATACAATGATAAAAAAAAATATCTATTCTTCTTATAAAGTATTATCATCAATCTTTAAGTCAGTAGCAATAGTAGTTGTGAAGATTATATCAGCAACTATTAATAGAATAAGATTTGCTTCTAAGGTTCTAGAAACATATATATTTTTAATCCTATTCATTTGACTTAAAGTTTTCTGATTTCTTTTCAAAGCAGCATCTTAAAGGATACAATTTGTTTAATTATTATTTGATGATGATGGATTAAACCATAGTATATTTAAAGCTTATTGATCATTATTGTTATTTTGATTAGTGAAAATCAATGAAATGTTTTCAAGCTTAATCATATGCTTTTTAGGAATTGTTTTGTCTTGGATAGTTTTATCAATTATAGGTAAAATATAGATATTGTATTTACTAATATAGCAATTATTGATCTTATGGTTTAATTTATAGAATTAGTCTTAATCACAAAATACTTAAGGTTAGAATTATGATATATATCAATTTAAAATTCATGCAATTTTTTTTCACCTAATTTTTCTTCAAATAAAAATTAAAATGTGATTTTTTATTTATATTCTTATAGTTTTCATTATATGTCCTAATATCATTATATTTAATCTAATAGATAATATAATATTACAATATAAATTCTGCATAATTTTTATTGATGTAACATTTACCTAAGTTATTCTATTTATAAATAAAACAAAATTTTAATTTTAATTAATAAATTTAATAAATAATACAACATAAAATTAATTATATATAAAATAATATTCAAAATATGTAACAAATTTTCTTTTCAAAAAACTATATTATTAGTATTAAAATCTTTAATTTAAAATTTAATATTTTAATTTAATAGAATAAATACCTTAACTTTTAAATAGATAACTTTTATTAGATCATTATTATCAATTCTTGACAATATTGTAATCTCTTTAATAGTAAATTCTTAGATTAGTTGTTCTGTATATTTATAAATATAACAAATCATAAAATTTTTGCAGTCATTTTTTTTTTTAATTTTAATTTAATAAATAATAATTTATTTTTATTTTGATAAAAAAAATTTTTTTTTGCTTTTTATTTTTTGTTAAAGAAAAAATAAAAAAAAACTTTTTTCAAAGTATGTTTAAAAAACTTTTCATTATTATCTAATAAAAAATATTAAATAAATAAAATATAAAAAAAGAAAGTTTACTAATTTTTATTAGCATATTTTTGAATTTAATAAATCAGTTTTATTATTACAAAGTTATAAAGTAAATAAAATATCAGAAAGCATATATAGAGATCTTGAGAAATATTACCATTTAAATGCTGATTAAGATAATTTAGTATTTGTAATCTGCTATCTTTTCAAAAAATACTTTAATATTAATATTATTTGGTTAAAATGAATTTTTTTTTATATGTTGTTAATAAAAATAATATTTTCTTTTTGTATTATTAAAAAAAATTCAAATATTTTTATTATATAATAATATGAAAATATATTACATATATAACTTTAATATGAAAGGTAGGAGGATAGGATGTTATCATTTTGAATCTAATATTTACTTGTAATCAACGAGTATACCTAATTAATTAGAATTGAGATTAGAATTAAAATTAAAAATACTCTATATTAAATTCACAATTAAAATTGTATAAATCAGTTTAATTAAAAAAAAGTATTATGGATAAGTATTTTATTAATCCTAAAATGAAAACTTTATGAAGATTATAAATTTGTTATTTTAAAAATTATATTATTTACTATATATAAAAATTCAAATAGGAAAAATTATAGGATCTGTTTTTTCTTTACAATAAATAATAAATAATAGTTGAAATTTATATAATACTATTATTATTAAAAAGATCTTCAATTAATTAAAAAAAGTAAAATATCATTTCTTTATCTATTATTAATTTTTAAAAAAGGTTGATAATAAAATAATTGTTTTTAAATTAAATTTTTTTTTTTCTTTTATATTAAAAATATCAATTTATTAATAATACTTTTAGAATAATATTGTAAAATATGATTATAATAAATTAATAAGTATAAATTTAGTATTTTTTTTTAAAAAAAATTTTTTTTATATGAATAACAAAAAAATAGAATACAAAAAATAAACTTTTTTAAAAGAAAATGTAAAATCAAAATGATGTCAAACTATATAGGTTAAAAGAAGGAAAGAAAATTTTAGTAAGAAAAAAATCATGATAAATGCTTATATATATAAAGGTGTTTATGATGCTAATATATAATAAATAAATTCTATTAATTAAGGACTGCAAAAAATCCATTTTCTTCATTAGTAATATTATTTAGTTCAGTATCTTCAAAAGAAATTTCTCTATTAATAACGGTTGGATCGGATATTTCCAAAAGTTTTTCTATAGATGAAGTCATTCTCCATTCATTCGTTTGTAAAACTATTTCACAAACTTCTGGGTCCATATTGGGAAACATCGAGATAAGTTCCGCAAGTGATGCTTGAAATTCGGCTTCTGAAACTCGTGCTACTTCTGCTTGAACATCAGAAAAATCGTTGGACGCCCTAGATGATCGCGAAGAAACAGAAAGTGATCGTTGCCTGCTTCCTTGATCCTGTAACAAATCGCTATCTGACAATCGTCTATGACGAGCAGGTTGTTCATTAATTGATGGTGGTCTTTGAGGTGAAGTACTACGCGAAGAAGATTGTGAATATGAATTTACTTCTAAATTAGGATTAACTTGACGTGAATTAATCGTTTCGCTGGCTTCGTTACTGATCTCTGCAAGAATCTTCCCAACTATGTTCAATGGTTTTTGTATCGTTCTTTGAGCGAAATTCCTTCCATTTTCGAATAGAGCTCTAGCCTGTGCAGGATTCAAGATGGGTGTCTTTAAATGCTGTGCAACTCTTGAAGGATGCATAACATTATCGTAGCTGATTTCCCTTGTATTTTTTGGTATTTCTGGCCATTCCTTTTCAAGTTCTTTCATGGTTATTTCAATATTTCTACGTAAAAAAAAAAAATATATATATATATATATATATTGATGAATATATATATTTTAAATCAAAACAATTGGAGGCTACTTACTTATCAAAGTCATCTTGTGTTATAGAGAGTGATGAAACATCCATATTTTCAATAAATGAAATTGCGCCCATCTAGTAAAAACATATATGATTAATATTTTTTTCTGATCAATTGATTATTAGATATTTAGGATAATAAAATTATTTAAAAGACTCTCGATTATTTAATTAGATTTATAGAAATAAGCATGAATATGACACATACCAAGCTGGAAAGATAGTAACCCGCTTCAGACTGTAATTTCTCTGGATTTCTAAACCTTGATATATATCTAAAAAAAATAAAATAAATATTTGAACAACTGATTTTTTGATAAGTAGTACTTACATAAAAAGAACTTACTGAACGTTAGATACTAAGTGTTCAGGGTTGGCTCTTAATACAACAAAAATAAGGATGGGTAAAAATTTATCTGCACCCTCCTCTCCATCCACATGTCTTATTAAACCTATCAACAAAAGTTAGATATACGTAAAGTAACGAAAATATTTTTCAAATACAAGAAAGTTAAACCCTACCAAAGATAACTTTACAACAATTAAGGATGCAAATGAGTTTATCACGTGGTGCTTTGAAATGATTTATTTTCAATAATTCTGTTAAAAAAAATATATATATTAGATAAAGTATTGAGGCACAATTTCATGAGAAAATCAATTTTTAGATTTTGGCGCGAAATCGACAACATTGTAAAGCTTGTGTAATATATATATATTTTTAAAAAAAACAAAGTTATTACCATTTTTTGCGAATTCAAGAAACTGTTCATTATGTGGAGCACTTGGTATATCCAAATGTTCTTCCTTTACCCATCTAAATATTTGAATTTTTTTATGCAAGATTTCGTCTCGTTCTTTATCGTCAGTTGTTACAGAACCTCGAATTGCCGGTGAAAAAGTTCTAAAAAAAAAATGGTTATCTTGCATTAATATAATTCAAATAAAAAAAAAAGTACTTCCACTTACAATTTATACAATCTATTCATCACCAATTTTTCCATCCCTTCTTTTGCATTTTCAAATTCTGCTTCAGTTGCATTACGCCATAACTCGCAATCACGCATTTTCACGGATATGAACTAAAATAATGATGAAAATTCTCGCGTTTAGATAATATTCAGTTAAATATATATATGAATTTGTCAACATCCAACTATTATACGTACATCTAAGAAATCATGTATGATTCTTATTTGATCATTGACCGTCCAAGGTTTTCGTTCAAATTCCCTTTCAAAACTATATTAAATAATAAGATTAAAAGCCCCTTTAAGAAAAATATCATTGCGAAAGAATCGAAAGATTTAATTACTTTTTAACATAACGTGCAATAGTTTGTGCGCTTGGATTTGTCATCTGTTGAAGAAATTTTCCGAAATCGAACTGTACATCCTGTTGAGGGGATGGTTTTCTTGCCAAGTTATGTTTTCTCACAACATTCTCCACTGTGCTTGCAGTGGAAACCTGTTTTTCATTCATACTATCATTTGTGGAATTGTTACCTGAATCAAATTATAACATTATTTTTGATTTGAACAAAAAAAGGTCCAAAAGTTAACCACATGAAAAATCTTTTTACCTCCTTTCGACGATATTAGTTCAGTTTCAATAGAACGAGTGAAGTCAAAGTTTGTATTTTCTCTTTGAAATATGGAACCATTTGATTTGTTTTCTTGTTTTATTCTATTTTCGTGCTTCTCGTTAATTTCTTTGAGCTCTACCTCTGTCACTTTCTTTTCATTATTTAACTCAACTGCTAAAGAATTAAACGTCAAAAAGAGTAAATAACGAAGTTATGCTTTATAGACAGTAGCGAAATAAACTTCAGTAACATACATTTTTTATCTGATAATGGATCAAATTCAACTACCTCTTTGTAATCGAAAGGTGAAGAGGCCGCTGTTTGTGGTTCTAGCGTCGTACTATCTGCATCTTGTTCAGCGTCTTTTAGTTTTTCTACTGTAGAAGTAATCATGTTGGTTTTTGTTGATTCCATTTTTTTTTTAAAAAAAAAAATTATAGTTTAGTGAGAAGTTGTTTTAATGTCGATCTATTCTCAAAAAAAAAAAGGAAACTTCATTTTGAGGTGCCACAATAGAATTTATCACCCATATTATAATGCATTGTCATATGTACATAAGAATTCAGTCATTTTTATATTATCAAAAAAGATTTGATCGACCGTTTAAATGCTTTATTTTTATTTTATTTTTGGATTAGCGCGTGTTTGTTGAACAATAATTTTCACAATCCCTTTCACACTTTTTTTCGTTCGTTAAAGTATATAGAAAAAGAAATTACGTAATCAATTGATCCTTTGTAAGTCAAATAAATCAATTCATAAAATCATTTATAGTTGAGTGGCTTTTTGATATAGTTTTCTCCTATTTTTTTATAGTAGAAAAGTCATCACCAATCAAAATCACTTTAATTTAAAGATGCAGAATGAAACAACCAATTAGAATGGATTTTCATGGGTGTTCCGATCAAAAAACATTCCAATCATCCTTATTTTAATAATGGTGGCTTGCTTAAAAATATGAGGCTTAGAAATAGTCAAAGCCCAACCAAAATAAAAGGATAATAGATCAACATCTATGATGATCACGTGTAATTCGAATTAGCAGATTTGATGGATATTTCATTTCATTTTTTTTTTTTTTTTTCACAAATCAGTCATTTGTTCGTAATAATGATACCGCGCAATTTGCTTTTTCTACTTAATGAAACACCTTCAAATGCGCGGTATCGTGGATTAAAGTTATTACCGTGTCAAGGATTTGGTTTTTTTTTTGCAAGAAATCGATCGTTCATAACCGCAAGAAATTTGTGCATAGGAACTATCTGTAATAGGTTTTCTGAATCAATACACGATAAGCCAGTCTTGCAAAACTTACAAAACATGATCCTTTCACGGTTCAATAATCCAAAATATAGTTTTCAACCGTTACGTTGGAACACAGGTTTTAATGGTTCAAAACCGTATTCTAACAGGTTAGGTTTACCGATTTTCTCTGTAAGGAATTCCCGATTTTTAAGTTCCTTTTCATAATTGTAATTTCTTTTTTACCGAAAAATAAAGTGAACTTTCACAAGATACGTATCATCGCATTTCAGAAATTACTATGGAACATTTGTCGGAATATTTTGAAAATCTTGGTGAACAAGTGAACATAGACGGTTACGATGTTGAATATTCGGTGAGTCAGTGCAAATTGGTTTGTAATAAATTTTATCAGATTCTCCTTTGTGCAATTTTATTTTCGTTGCTGAATCCTGAATGTCCGTTAGAGTGGAGTTCTTACACTTAGGTGTGGTCCTTCTGGCACCTACGTAATCAATAAACAACCACCTAACAAACAAATTTGGTTGTCATCGCCTATCAGGTATGTGATATCAAAATAATTTCTAGAATTTTGTAACATATCAATTTTTTTCTCAAAAACAATCTTTTGGAAATAAAAGTGGACCCAAGCGTTATGATTATGATTCAACCCATAAAAAGTGGTTTTATCAGAGGGATAACTCAACGTTGGATGGACTTCTTAATGAGGAATTGTCTATAATATTCAGAACTAAAGTTGATGTAACTTTACCAGTATCCAATTAAATGAAATGATGTGATCTTTTTCATGTGATATTTGAAAATCATCCGCGACGCCAAGATAATTTTATATTTGATATTATTACATATCTGTATAAGAAATTTTTGTCTTTTTTTTTAAGTAAATATTTGATATACTAAAAATTCTAAAAAAAAAAAAAAAAACTTGTGTCCTGTGCTATTCGTCATTTGAAAGTATAAAGTAAATCGATATGGATCAATCGGAACAGGATATGGCTAGCGCCGGGTATGTTTATTGGGGGGTTTTTCCTTTTAGAAAAATGCTTATGTTTATGTTAATACATGAGCGTTTTATATATGTGTGTGTCTTTCATTTTTTATCTAGGCAAACACTTTTGACAAGTTTTCATGCCCGGTTGTTAATGTCGGTGACCTTACTGATATTTAATATCTTGTTATAAACATGCAAGTTATTATATTGGAAATTTTAAA